TGTGTTGCATATGTAAAGTAATATACGTGCAGTTGCCCCAGAATTTGTGCACCCAATTTATCTATCGCTATTAGTACATGGTGAAATTAGTGTTAAAATTAGCATTAGGCGTTCTGGGGCGATAAAACGGTAAATACCGAAATTTGTGAAAATGTCTTTTTTTTTTTACAGTATATATATTTCGAATAGGGAATTATTATTTTTTTTTAGGAAATATATATGAAATATTGGTCATTTCTGCCACATGTTGCCACTGATTTCATATGATTCTGGATGCCATCAAAGAGTCAATTAGTGATTTATTATAAAATTTAATGCATAATTTATGCAAGGTATCCCTACTTTCCGGGAGGCAGAGTATAAAACAGCTGTCGAATTATAAAAATTTATCATCAAAATGACAAAGGAAAAATATAATACTGTAAATACTGTTTGGGATACCAAATTACAACAATTTCATGGTGGTCAGGACTGGAAACATTTGGATAATTTTATAGAAGATTTTTCGGTAACAACTAATGCTTTAGGAACACCCAAATCTGCATTAGAGGCATCTATAGAAGCTGTAAGTTGATTTTTATTTCTAAATTTATATAAATCATTTTGATAGATTGTATGCGCAATACATAATTGATTTGCTTTTGTCAGTGTTTTACTTGCCATCATTACCCATCAGCGGATCAAGAGCCAGCGAAAACGTCACTTGCACAATTCCTTTGGCCCGATGACTATACAAAACATTCTGATAGATTACTTCTTGGAAATGGTGCAAGCGAATTAATCGATTTGGTTATAAGATCTGCTCCTAATGGTACATGGAAACCAGGGCCGTGGGATGTTCAAGTATTGTCCATTTCCTTTTTTTTTGTTTTTTTGAACAAAGTTGTTGTTCTAATTACTTACATTTGCATTTATTATGATTTAAGTATAAAGAATATCAACGATCAGCAGAAAACAATGGTCGAATTATTCTAAGTCCTCAGGATACCACTCGTGCAACACTTTCATGTATTGTTAATCCATGCAATCCTACTGGTGATTATAAAAATGTTGCAGAAATGAAGAAATGGATTCTTGATAATGTAGAAGAAGGAGGTGTGGTTATAGTTGGTATGCGTATTTTTCATTATTTTCATATTCATTTCCATTAACGTAACATTTTGAATTAACATAACAATTGAATATTCAAAAGATGAATCGATGCAACCCTGGCTATCATCAGATTTTCGATCAGATTCCCTAATTTCTCAACATGATTTTATATTCTCACTTTACAAAACCAAGAACATATCAGCTTATATAATTCATTCATGGACTAAATTCTGGTCTTGCACAGGATTACGTCTTGGCTCAGTAGTGTGTCCTACTTCAAAGCACTTTGACGCATTGAAAAGAATTCAGGTTCCCTGGAGTGTAAATTCACCAGCACTTGCATTTTTGAATGCAGTGGTTAGGGATCATAGTTATATGGAACGCACGTGGAACCTTACATCAAAATGGCGAGCAGAGTTAATCGATAGGTTAAAGGTTATTTCAAATGCTATTGTGATGTTTCATAAAGATCCAATGTTTGCATGGGAATTTTATGGAAATGACTTTTTATCATGGGTTTGGATTAATATGAAAACTGCAAAGATTGCAGAGGATGCAGTGGATAAAGCTAAAGCAGCCGGTGTACCAGTTAGGAGTGGAAAACCTGGATATAATAGACCAACTTATGTTAGAGTGGCGGTCAGGGAGCCTTCAAAAGTTGATTTTCTGATTCGGGCCTGGAAATATCTTGGAGCTCAATGATTGTATTTGGATATATTGCAAAAATAGTACATTTTAATTAATACGAAAGTTATAGATTTGTTATTTGACTTTATTATTCATTTATTTATTTTTTTTTTTTTATCAACATAATATTACACATTACCATAAAAATTCAATTTGATAATTCTTTAAAAAATTAAATATAAATTTCCAATCTTGAAAATTAAGTATAGTCATGTTAACGCATACTGTATTGCAAAAATTTTTTGGCAAACCTTTGAACGTATAAAAACCAGAAAGTTTAATTTACCTTACTGAAAATTATTCTGCAAAAATCAAATATTCCCATTAATTTTTAGTTCTCTGAAGTACTACATGATTTATAAGTTGGTTTGTCATTTTTGCTGTCCATTAAGAAAAAACCTATGGATACTGGCCATTGAGATATTGGTTTTCATTGAGCAAATTACCCATTTTATTAGGACACCGAGCCAATTAATTAATTAATTATTATACTGATAAATTTGTTGCTATATAGCATTAATTTAAATGATTTAATTTACTAAAACATAAACTCCGCATTTGATTATCGAATAGGTTACATTGTTAATGTATTACTTTCGTGAGGACAGCTTGTTAATAAATAGGAATATTTTAATGATTTACTATGATTGGTTACAGGTTTTCACTCTCACGCACCCATATGTAAAATGTTGATAATATATTAGTTATGTTATCCTTCTTTAAGAGTATAGATGCTGGTGAAACTGGTGAAACTGGTGAAATTTAATATAACAGCCAATCAGATTTTAGATAGTCACCAGTTTCACCAGCATTATTTAGTTTCACCAGCATCTATATTTAAGAGCATCATTTGGATTATCGCCACAGATACAGTAACGGATTAAAATTCATTTGTAATTAAATTTTTTAGTTATATACAATTTTTCTCTTCGCCTTTAAGTTATTTCTAGTCCTAAACATTCATTTGATTTAATTATGAAGCCATCTCATAAAAATAATATTAAGATCCGGATGCGAATCATAGAAACATTAGCGTTAAATGTTTATTATAAATGCAATGTGCATGCGTTTTAAAATCTTATTGTACGAAATAAATTCTTCTATATAATACTGTATATCTGGTCAATTTAAAGTGGTTTTGAATAAGTCCCAGGTCTATAAAAGCTAATGGTATGCATTAATATACAAGTATAACAGAAAGTTTATAAGTTAAATGTATGAAAGATACTTTATTAAATCAAAATATACATGAACAAATAGACAGGGAACAAATAACTTACCAAGTTGAGACTAATTTTATATTGCCTACAAAAGAAAGATTGAAAAACTGAAGGTAAACAATTGAAATCAATAAAGACCAATTCCAATTAGATATTAATTTCACAAACTGTGTTTTAACAAAATAAGATTAATATTAATCATTTAATCAGTTTTAGTTTATTCTAAACTTCTTTGATATAATTCAAAAGAAAAGATTTGCTAAAATTCTCTAGAAGAGTATAGTGCATCATAGGTACACAAAGTGACCCGGTTTGTGTTTCATTATATATAGTGTTGTGTTTTATTATTTTAATGTTTTAGAACTGTAATATTTGTAGAAGACTAACAACGTTAATGTTTGGGAGAAGTCAATAGAAAAGAGGCAAATTTTTTTAAGTAAAATTTATTTTTAAAATTAAATATCTCAAACCAAACTTGATAAAAAGTTTTTTTTTTATTTTAATTCTATATAGTTATAGAATTAAAATAAAATTTTTTTATCAAGCTTGGTTAGATATTTGTTGAGATTTTTGAATTTAAATTTAAAAAAAAGGTACAGTACTAAAAATAAGTTCTAAGATTTGTGGTGGAATCGACGTGTTATTTGTGAGTCTAGAATAACATATCATTCGTGAATTTTGCTTTAAATGTAAAATAAAATAAATAAATGCTAAATGCTATAAAAATAATAATAATAAATAAAATACTAGCAAGTTTTTTTTATTAATTGTTATTCGCCGTCTCAATATGATCGCGTGACGTATTATTAATCACCAATTTTTATCACAAATTTACTTCTTATTAGATACTAGATCTCAGGCCTAGGCGTTGCCCCGGGTTTAAAATTTTTTAATTGGGCTTACTTGAACCCAAATTTGGTTTACTTGAACCTGACTTGTATTATTAATCACCAATTTTCCCAGATTTATTGGTTGTTATTCCCAGTGTTGGCCGATGACCTAAGTCATAATATTTTTTCTATATGACCTTGTTCATATAATCGTATTGGTCATAGTCATGTCGGTCATATTAAATGCTAATAGAAAAATCTTTACTATGATTCTTACTATATTAAAAAAAGTCATAAGTCATATCAACCTTCGTTATGACCGAATGACCTGTGATAGGTCATTTAAGGTCATAGGCCAACACTGTTATTTCCCGAACATTTTACAGTTATTTTCAAAAAAGGTGTGAACAACGATTTCCTTATACCTATGTGAGAGGGAAATCGAAGAATTGAGATATTATCATTAGTAAAAATTGAAGATCCGATTAGAGCTGACTTTGAAATCTGATTTACGTCTTTTTGGAAACAGCTATAAAAATGTAAATGAAGACAAATAAATGCAGAAATGTGATAGAAATGATTAGTAACACGAGTTCCATCATATTGTCATATGAAACGATAAATAACACATTTATTTCCCGTGTCGGGGAAATAATAGAAACATTCCCCCAGCGGAGCATGTACGGGATGTAAAGCGTCCCGCACATGTCTTTGGGGAGATATGCGTATTTCATCATTCCTGCCGTCCCAGGGAATAAACAGTACTTAGATGCTTAATGCTAAATAAAAACCTATTTACCATACTGTGTGACCAACCAAAAAATTCGGACACGTGAGTCACCGACATCGATATCTGTTACTTTTTACTTTTTACCAATCGATATTTCTTCAAGTAACTTTTATAGATCCGAAAATTTAATAATAAACACCTTAGAAATAGATGGCAAGTACATGAATTATCGATTTTAAGTGAAGCTGTAATCGCTATAATTTTTTTTGAAAAATGAAACCATCCGTCAAGAAAATTTCTACCCGGGTATTATTAAATTATCCGGTTATCCGGGTAATTTATTATAGCTATATAATAAAAATGTCTACCCGAGTACAATCACTATTCTTTTAGGTAATTGGAAAGTGTCAAATAACCAAGAACAATAAATTAATTAATAGATCAAAGGCAATAAAAATTATTTGATCCAATGGTTAAAGTTATTTATAAAGAATTGATCAGTACCCACGAATAGGATTCAAGCATCGATATGTAATATTGATTTAAAAATTCTCTTTTTTCCATATTTTTATTATTATTTTTTATTTTTTAATAATTAAAGGTTATATTGGTTACGGATGGTTGGTAGGATCAACAAAAAAGTAACAAATCAAAATTTTCGCTAAAAATATATGTTTATGTACGTACGTACGTACGCAACACTAAAAGAGTACTACTATTCGCACCATAGATTTTACGAATTTATTATTTTGAGAATTTCCATGGTGGCAAAAATTTATGGTGCGAATGGTAGTACCTTACTAAAGTTTATGTGCAGTGAACATATCAGACATAGGTTAATAAGTCACATCCACTCACTAGTTAAAAATTATTTTTAACTAAATAATATCTTAATATTTATTAGATACGTATTAGAACTTTTATACGTATAAATTTTTAATTTGATTTCATTGACTATAATTCTTAATGCAATTTCGGCAAATATTAATAAAATATTGGTTGTTTAGAATTAATTTGCGTTATAATTTTTTTTTTTTTTTAATCCGATCACTATATTCTTGATCATATCGAACTTTTTTTTTATTAGTGCTTATCTTACCATATATTCGGAATCTTTTTTTATTAAAATTTATTGGTTGGCAAGAACAGTCTTCAACATAAATTTTCGTACAAACTAAACACGCAAACAGCATTCAAGAGAAAACCTAATATTGAATGTGTTAACATTGTACAGTATTACCATTCAGAATACTATCACTATGTATTAAACAATATATATCGTTTTATACGAGTGCTACCAAGGGGAAAACTGTCAGCGCACACAGAATCATGAGATCACGAGATTTTTTGAAAAAAACTTTTTTTTTTTATTTGACTTATTAGAATACATTTACATCAAAATTCAAATTTTATTTAATACATGTATAAAGCTTTAAATTTGAATTTATGCTACCAGTAAAATCCACTCCAGATTTTTGGAAGCTTTTTTCTCGTTCAAAATCTTTAATTCATCTACCATTTATTATTAATTTTGATGTCGGCAAATAAGCTCCGTACATATGTAACTGCCTTTGGTAACGATATTAGGTGGGTCGTTTACTGGACTCTATCTGATTTTATCCGGTAACTTATTTAAAAATCCGATGATAGGTTTTCACTTGATAGAATCAGTATGTGAAATCACTGCCGAATTCAACAGCTTATCGAATCGGCCAAACAATCATTCGATCAATTTTTTACTACAGTGCAGGAATCCTTAAACCA